CTATTGATGAAAAAATGGTTAAGAAAAGGGGGAACCTTCCATAATATTGATGGTCCATCTATATAACAGATGGCTCATATCTCTCACCCCACAAGTCACCCTTGATCGACGGTTCATGTTCAATCTCACAAAAATAGGCAAGCCAAGGAAAACCTTAAGAAACCCTAATCTTGTTCGGGCCTATAAAAAAATTGGATTGTCACTACCCAAAATATCTACACCTTATCTTTTTATCTCTCTTTTAAGAAAGTTTATCTCTCTCATATTTGATCTCTCTCTCCAACATTGTGAAAGAACCTAAAGGTTTAGGTTATGGAGTTCTTCTCTCTCCTATCTCTCAAATGTAGATTTATGGCTAAGGGTTTTAGGGTTTAGCAAAAAGACAATTCATCTCTCTCAAACTAGGTTGCTAATAGAATTCACTTAGGGTTTGAGTTTGTGATCAAAGGGGTTCATGTTTCATTAATGTGGCTTGGCCAAAATTTGATTATCGGTTCAAGATTAAAGCTAGACTGTTAACCTCGCGCCATCGGATGATGGTGATTCGGTGTGGGGTGTAATAAGCCAGATTGAGGTAATATCTAATATTATTCATTTTGTTTACTGCAATCTTATCTTTTATTCTTGAGCATAGTGCATAGTTGTTTCAATCGCATCATGTTGTTAAGATCTTGGTTTTATTGTTATGTTGATTTTATTTTGAAATTTATTTTATTATAATGGAGACCACGTATAAGTGATCTTTTGCCAAAAGAAAGGGGTGAAGAAAAAAAAAATGTATTCCCCGATAAAGGATCACATAGGTCTTTCTCTCAATATATGTATATATAGGAAAAAACTGAGATTAGCCCACTTGGTCATACAAACATATAAGCTCAACAATCTGGGCCGATCTAACGATCATGGATGTCTGGTAGTATTTGAATTTTATTTATTTTTCTACAAATCCAAATCACTGGAAATTTTAAGTATGTGTTATTCTCATCAAGGAGCATCTAATAAAAGTATAAAAAAATTTATTCACCAAAAAATGACCAAAATTCCCCCCCCCCCCCCCCCAAAAAAAAAATTCGGGGGGTATTTTGGTTAATTTATTTCATGCAAAATATTTTTTTTATATTTTTCAAAGATCCTCCCCTAGAGACGAGTCCAGGTCACCATGACTTGATGCGACCACGTCTCTAATATGCATAGGGGTATCTCTCGCACATGCATACGCTTCACCCACCCAAAAGGTGGATAACTAGCTTTCCCGAACAATTTATCGATATGCATGTCGTGTGATGGAACATGGATGAGGTCTCTCGTATCTGTAGGCCTACCATCATACACAAGGGTAATACAGTCCCTTGGCTTACTCATCCAGGCATAAGCTCTGACCTCATCAAGGGCTAATCCAAAACCCTTCTAGATTTATTTTTTATGCCTAGGTACCTTGAGTTTTCCAACCGATTGGCCTAGATCGTCAAGCACAGTCCGGTATCAGCAAACATTATTTGCTTAGTATGGTCCTCGAGGGATCATACTCCCACTGAGTTTATGTTTCAGTCTAATAAATGTTTTTTCATTACATACTCATAAGGTTTTTAAAGGCCACATAAACCCAACATCTTCCACTTGTCATTTGAAGGCCTTACATCATCTCTTTCTCACTTTCAGTGATCCCCATATCTCTCACATGTCTTACAAAAAACATTAGGGACAACTCCCTTAGTCAGAAGATCTGCAACCATCAAATGTGTAGATATATAGCTGATCTCGATCTCTTTCCGTCTTACCTCATTTCTCAAGTGATAAAAGTATGATTTAATATGCTTAGAATTCTTATGAATCTGTGGCTCCTTAGAGACACAAATAGCTGCCAGGTTGTCGCAGAAAATTAGCACTGCCTCACAACGTACAAGATGAAAATTAAGTTGATTAAGAAACTTATTAATCCACACGGCCTCCTTGGCTGCTGGACAACTAGTCACATACTCGGATTCTATGGTAGACAAAGCGACAATCTCTTGTTTCTTTGACTTCCAAGAAACCGCACCCCCTCCAAGCATAAACACATACCTAAACATAGATTTCACAGCATCTGAATCCGCGAGATAGTTTGCATCTGAATATCCCTCTATTGCTATTTCAGTTTCCCCCTTATATGTGAGTGCATAGTTCATGGTCACTTTTAAATATCTGAGAATTATTTTTACTAATTTCCAATGCTCCTCTCCTAGATTGCTTTAGAAAACAGCTCACCAGACTCATGACGAAGGACAAGTTAGGCCTTGTTTTCGTCACAAGTCAGCCCTTGTTTTCGTCATGACGTACATAAGGGACCCAACTACGCTCTTGTATGACACTCTCTCTATGGCTCTTATATCCATGTCTTTGGTATGACATATTTTAGTACTAAGCTTCTTCTTTTTGTCTATTGCGGTAGACATGGGATTACACATACTCATATCTCCGGCCTCTAGGTGTAAGGTGACACAATTGACTTGCTCGAAGGAAGCGAGCGAGATTTCTTCGAGCTCGACTCCTACAACTAGCTTCCTGTTATGTATATTAAGATTGAGGAAACCAGGGGGTTCAGCACATACCTTTGCGACGCTGTTTTCAATTGGAAATTTGAGGCATTGATGGAGTGTAGAGGCGACCATGAGGTTTTCATGCAACCATGGTCTTCCTAACAGCATGTTGAAATAAGGTTTTATGTCCAAGACATACAACTTTATCACTTGGACGGTAGGGCCAATATTGAGTGTGATAGGCAGTATGTCTTCAGCTTGTCTTTTGGTTCCGTCGTATGCAGCGATAATTAGTTGGCATGACTCGAAGTTATCGGGGCTTTTGCCTATCTGCTTCATTGCTTTCATAGGGCATATGTTTAAGGATGCCCCATTATCAACAATCACTCTTCATATCTCATATCCTTGCATGAAGATGATGATGTGCAGAGGTTGGACGTGAAATCAGTTGAAGCTGGCTGGGATGTCATCGTCTGTGAGCACGATTGGTGTTGGTGTCATTAGCTGATTGATCATTCCACACAACTCATCTGGTTGTGTGTTGCGCGGAATGTGTGTTTTGGCAAGGACCTTCTCAATCTGGGCTCTATGTGCTGGTGAATTAACGAGTAGCTCCAAGATGGAGATTTGAGCCTAGATCTTCCCGAGATGAGCTGGT